GCACCCCCCAGACCCGTGTGAGTGGACAGGGCTGCAGCGTGGGCACCCCCCAGACCTGTGTGAGTGGACGGGGCTGCAGCGTGGGCACCCCCCAGACCCGTGTGAGTGGACGGGGCTGCAGTGTGGGGGTGGGGAACAGGAATGGCGCTGAGACAGCAACACCAGATGGCAGCTTCCTCCAAAGCCTCGCCATGGTGTTCTCGGTACATCTGGAGGCCATGAGGAGCCATAGATGGTTGTGGAGTGGGGTAGAGTCCAGTCAGTCCGGAAGGTAGGAAGCAGCACCGTCTGCCTGGCCGGCTTGCCGGGTCAGGGGACAGCAGGGCGGGGTCTCACGTGGTTGCCTGTGTGGCTGCCCTTCCCTGGGGAGGGAAGAGTGGCTGGCTCTTGAGGCAGAGCTCAAGCTTGAGTCCCGTGGCCCTGAGCTTCCCTCTGCTGCCCCAAGCAGGCCACTCAGGAACAAGAAATCCTTTAGGGTGGGCCACACAGGCGCCTTCCAGGAGGAGCAGCCAACACCCCGCAAGCCTCGGCTTCCCCACCATGCTCGTTGGGGGGTCCCCTGTGTCCCTGAAGCTCTGCTCCTTCCCGTGAGCCCCAGCTCTCCAGTGCTGACCCACTGCTGGTCACGAACCTGCCACAGGTTGGCCCTCCCAGGGTACGAGCACCGCGTGCCGACCCAGAGGCAGCTCTGAGCCCAGCTACCCGGGGTGGACCCTGCACTCACCACTGGGGGCCGAGGACAAGAGGTGTCCCCTCTCTGGGCCTTCGATGTGGGCGTGAGGCCAGCCAGGGTGTGGGCGGCAGGCTGGCAACTGGGAAAGATGGGCTTGGCCTGGGGAAAAGGGATGGCGAGCAGCTCCATCCATGCTGAGAAGACCCCACGTGTACTTCTTGGGCCTGGCTGCCGTGCTCTTTAGCTCCACCCCCTCGACCTGGGGAGGCCCCACCAGAGTGAGGGATGAAGGGGCGGGAAGGTGTGTGTGCAGTCCCAAGGTCCCGGGCCCAGGGATGGGGCTTTGGGGTCCTCCACTCTTCCAGCGACAGGGTTGACCACCTGGACTGTGGCACGTGGGGTCCCTGTGTTCTGTGCTTCTGCAAGGGTAGTGCTAAGAGGGTGGGTGCCCGGACCAGAGCCCCTGCCCCCTTGCTGGCTGCATGGGAAACAGGAGAGCCTTGGGGTGAGGCTGGGGGGTAAACCCAGGAGCTCCTGCTGCTCCCTGGCTGCCTAGGAAACAGGAGAACCCCTGGGTGTGCCTGGGAGGTAAACCCAGGATCCTCACAGGAGCCCCCGCCCCTCTCTGGGCTCATGGCAGGCCTGTGTCCCAGTCTAGTCCTGACCGCAGTGCACTGGGGCTGAACTTGAACATGTTTTATCTTTTCCAGCGGCTTTTCCTCCTCGGTACAGGTTCCTAAATGAAACTGCAAGCCAAGTTCATGGAGTTTAATCACTTTCAAGTTTGGGAGCTCGGTCAGAGTCCTTGTTTCCAAAACTCAATCTCAGATTTGATCTAGAATCTGAGACTCCGCCTACTCCCCTGACCCTGGTTAGACCTGGGGTGCTGCAGTGGGGGTCTGGCTCCTGCACCTGCACCCCCTGAGCTCCCAGCTGAGGCTCCAAGAGGCTGCCCGGCACATCCTAGCCACCCCCCACCACAACCACCCCCACCGTGACCACATCTGGTGGAAGAGGGTGCATTTTGGGGAAAATAGGAAAGCGGAAGGTTCTAGGAGGGTCATGCTGTTGCTGCTGCTGGCAGTGCCAGCCAGGATGTACGGGCACGTGGCCAGCTGACATTGGAGTGTCCTGAGGCCCCTTCTGCCCTGCTAGGGACATTCTGCCAGTGACAGCTCTAGTCCACAGCCTGTGTCACACAGGACTTTGAGCTGCCATGTGCAGAGCCCACAAAGAAATATGGAGCTCCAGATGTGTTTGGAAAGTGCGGATGTGGTTTCCATGGCAACACTCCTTTTGCACCTTGCTCTCATCTCCACGTGTACTGCTGATAGTAGAATGAGGGGGCTGAGGCAGGTGTGAGGTTGGCATCTCCCCTGCAGCTTGGAGCTCAAGGTCAAGGGAGCTTCTTGGCAGGGGAGGGCGCCGGCCAATATGGTAGGAGGCAGAGTGGCGGAGATGCCTGCAAGGGCATCCCAGAGGAAGCAGGCCTCCCGCGAGGGGCCCACCTGGTGACAACAGCAGTGGCAGTGAGAGCAGAGGTGGGCCTACCTCACCAGTCAACGTGTGTGCATTTATTCACGGGTCACACGTGCCCTGACTCCACAGGCACAGAGAAGTGAAGTGACTTCCCCACGTCACAGCCAGTGAGGGGCAGAGCTGGGATCTGACCACTGCTCTCTGTTGCCTGTCCTCTGGTCACCACACAGCCCTGTGTGCTGTGCTCCCTTGACGTGCAGACAAGCCAACAGAGGCTTGGATCAGGGATCTCAGCTCCAGTACCATTCACATGTGGGGCCAGAGAGCCCTTTGGTGAGGGCAGCTGTCCTGGCAAGGTTAGCATCCTGTGTCCACTACCGACTAGATGCCTGGAACCCTCTCCAAGTTATGACAGTCAGAAGGGTCGTCAGACATTGCCAAATGTCTCTTGGGCAAAAGTACCCCACGTTGAGAGCCACTGCCACAGACCTTTGCAAAATGTACCTTATCACCTGCTGAGTGGGGGGAGCCAGGAGGCTGTCTGGGCTGTGCGTCGTCTGCCTCTGCAGAGACAAGGGAAGGAGTGTGGCGAAGGGGGTGATGTGGGGGTCGCCTCCTGGACTTGAGAATGGTGGAGGCATCCTCTCACTTTGGTTCCCATTCATTCATTCATTCATTCATTCATTCATTCATTCCCCCACGTGTCTCTCAAGCCCGCAGCCTGTGCTGGGCACCCAGGGTCCTGAGATGAGTAAGAGGCCCCCCTTCCCTTGGAGTTTGAATCTGCTCTCTGGCTGTTTTCCAAAGTAGCATGTGAATTTGCACAGCGTGGTCACTTAGGAAATCCTGAGCTTGACCAACAGCTTTGTGAGTGTTCGTTTGTTTTAATTGTTAAAAACAATGACTCAGGTCTCTGCCAAAAGAAACTAAGGAGGCCATGCACAGAAGCAGCCTCCGCTGAGCTCTTACCACGCAGCAGGCCCACGTGGAGTCTCGCCAGTGCTCACTGTTCACCCGGGACGCAGAGGCTTTGGGCCCGGTCTTCTGTGTAAATTAGCGCTGGATCTGGGCAGGCACCAAGTGCAGAGGTGATCGCTCCACCCCACGATGAGGAAATGGGGGCTCCCGCAGGAGGAACACGCTCCGTGTGACCCAGCGCCTAGTGGGGGCCAGGATTTGTACCCAGCGCGTCAGGCCCTGGGGCCACCTTCTTTCCATCTTGGGTGGAGGTGTCCTTGGGCGCGAGGGTCCGTGCTTGGTCTGTGAAGTACTCAGGGGCTCCTGCAGGTGGCAAGGCCCTGTTTGTCAGACACCCTCTTCCTGCCTGTCCATCACGGGGTCCGGGGCCTGCCCTTGTCATGCCCCCAACACACAACCACACCCTTAAACACACGCAGACACACACTTCCACAAACACACACACACTCTCACACGCAGACACACACTTCCACAGACACACAGACACACTCTCACACAGACACTTCCACAGACACACAGACACACTCACACACAGACACACACTGCCACAGACACACAGACACACACACTCTCACACGCAGACACACTTCCACAGACACACACATACACTCTCACACGCAGACACACACTGCCACAGACACACACATACACTCTCACACGCAGACACACACTGCCACAGACACACACACACTCTCACACAGACACTTCCACAGACACACAGACACACTCACACACAGACACACACTGCCACAGACACACAGACACACACAGACACACACTGCCACAGACACACACTCTCACACGCAGACACACACTTCCACAAACACACTCTCACATGCAGACACACACTTCCACAGACACAGACACTCTCACACCCAGACACACACTGCCACAAACACACACACACTCTCACACGCAGACACACACTTCCACAGACACACACACACTCACACGCAGACACACACTTCCACAGACACACACACACTCTCACACGCAGACACACACTTCCACAAACACACACATACACTCTCACACGCAGACACACACTTCCACAAACACACACACACT